TAACGACCGACCGGTACGTAAACAAGAATATATATATATATATATATATATATGTGTGTGTGTGTGTGTGTGTGTGTGTGTGTGTGTGTGTCGGGCGTGCGTGCGTGCCTGCGTGCGTGCGTGCGTGCGTGCGTGCGTGCGTGCGGGCCGTGCATGTGTGTGTGTCGTGTGCGTGTGCGTGTGCGTGTGCGTGTGCGTGTGCGTGTGCGTGTGCGTGTGCGTGTGCGTGTGCGTGTGCGTGTGCGTGTGCGTGTGCGTGTGCGTGTGCGTGTGCGTGTGCGTGTGCGTGTATGCGTGCGTGTATGTGCGCGCGTGTGCACATGTATTATGCTATGCGAACACATATCTAGCGTTATTGAAATCAGGTGTTGTGTTAGTAGTATAAACGCATATTGTCACGCTTCAATATGTGGACTATCCTTGAATACTAAAAAGACCGAGGTAGTACCCTTTAACATCCCGGATAGCGTAGAGCTGACTACTCTCGATGGTGAAATATTATCTGTCAAGGATGAGTTCAAGTACCTAGGCTCGTATATCAACTCGTCAGGTAAAGATATTGGCGTGAGAAAGACCCAGGCTTGGCGTGCGCTCCACAAGCTGAACAACATCTGGAACTCAAATAGGGCGGAAGGGCTAAAAAAGCGTATCTTCGTGGCCTCAGTAGAATCAATTCTCACCTACGGATGCGAGCCTGGACATTCACAGTAGGAGACGAGACCAGACTTGATGGATGCTACACGAGTATGCTCCGAAAAGTATGTAATGTCACCTGGCAGGATCGTGTTCCGAATGAGGTGCTTTATGAAGAACTACCACCGCTCTCCTCTAAGATACGATCGAAAAGATTGCGTTTGGCGGGGCGCTGTGTCCGACACAGTAATGTTGCCGCGCACGACTTGGTTCGATCTCTGGGAACCTCAACAGGGTTGGGCTTCTCGGGGCGGCCAGCGACTGACGTACATCGACCAACTCAGACGCGATACTGGTCTTACGGGGCGCCATGCAGGACAGGCATTTTTGTACCTATAAACTTGACAAAAATGAGGACAAGCGGTGACAAGCGGTCACAAATGGTGACGGGCCTCTTAAGCGTTGGGACAATAGCGGTGACAAGCTGGACGGCCAGGTGACGCGACGCGCTGCGACGTCGACTGGGCGCGCCAGCATCGCTTGCTGTCTCACGCCAAGAAACCGGTTTCGACTGGGCAGTATATAGAGGGGGGGAACGGGTATTTTCGGGACGCGGGATTGGCCATTTTAATTACCTGGGAACTGGGAAATGTCAGATAAATTTTTCGTGATTCGGGAATAGAAGTCCATCGGGACGTGGGAAACACCCTCTAAAATTGTCTGGGATCTGGGAAAATTGTGTCAATTCGTCGGGATTTCAATTTCTGCGCTAATATTTTATATTTTTTTTTTACATTTTTTATTAATTATGCCCAGATAAATAAT